CATTTGAGCAGCTTCTCGCGATCACTTTCGGGCAGTATTCCGCCGTAGCCTACTAGCATCACCGCTTGAAGCCGTACAACTTTGCTATTGGACATTTTTCCAAAATGCATTCTTACTGAAAATATTAGGGGGATCCAACACTTTTCGACTAATGTATTTTCTTTAAACTAATTAATTGGTCTCGTTATTCCGCGCACAAAAGTATTAAGGTTACGATTACTAAAAACTAAATAATATTTTACAAAATATTTTACATTTTGTGTCAAAAAATTGTTTACTTCAAATCTTTATAATTCAAAAAGTACTTAATGAAAAAATATTTTATTCTAGCGTTTTGGAACGCTCTCGAGATAAGATATAAGAATATGCAATAAAATGTAAAGGGTTCCATTTAAAAAAATTAGGTTGACCTTGAAATGACCTTGAAGGATATGGTCAAGGTCAAAGTCAAAGTCACCATCTGACTCCTCGCTTGAAACCATACAACTTTGTTATTGCACATTTTCTCTAAAATGCATTCTAACTGAAGATATTAGGGAGGTCCGATACTTTTTGATGACTTTGTGTACACGCACCGGCGTTAATGCCGTCCGAATATCCGTGTGACTCGCACACGATAACGCGTCACTCATACACTGCTGCGTGTAGGTGAGCCATGAGCAGCACGGAGTGGCGGAGGGAGCTAGCGGTATACGATCGTCGGACGCTTGGAGAGGGAATAGTGGTGGGAGTCGCGGCGATCTTCCATCCTCTATCGCAAACGTAAGAACGAGAGAAATAGCATTATAAGACGTCTGGACAGAAATGCCGTCCTAAAATACGTGTGAAACACACGAAGAAAACGCTTGACTCACACTGTCTCGTCTATACGTGAGCAATACGCGGTGTCCCGACGACTGTTTCGCTCGCTCGAACGTTCATACATTTTTCATTGTTAGCAAGGAAATTACTGTAATGTAAAAATCTTGGGGAAAGGTTTTTAGGAGGCTTTGACAAATGCTTCTTAATAGCTACTCTTGAAAAAAAAATAAATATTAGATTTATTTTAATATAGAATTCTGAACCAACATAGAATATGTTGCAACAATATAACGTTTGTGTAGGTTGTCGATCGAAGAAGAGTATCTTTAATTTTATTGTTGCATTAACACGCGAGATATAATTATTTCATATTTTATGCGTTCGAGTATCGTTCCATCGTTATAAAATTTGGTGGCCCTGAGAAGGGCCGATTTTTGTGTCGAAGCAGTTGAGGTCGATAGTCAATAGTAGAAACGGGTCGCATTTTTGTATCCATAGTAATAAGGAACAATAATTATTTGAAACAGGCGCAAAAATCGGCCCTTTTTAGAGTCACCAAATTTTATAACGATGGAACGATACTCGAACGCATAAAATATGAAATAATTATATCTCGCGTGTTTATGCAACAATAAAATTAAAAATACTCTTCTTCGATCGACAACCTACACAAACGTTATATTGTTGCAACATATTCTATGTTGGTTCAGAATTCTATATTAAAATAAATCTAATATTTATTTTTTTTTCAAGAGTAGCTATTAAGAAGCATTTGTCAAAGCCTCCTAAAAACCTTTCCCCAAGATTTTTACATTACAGTAATTTCCTTGCTAACAATGAAAAATGCATGAACGTTCGAGCGAGCGAAACAGTCGTCGGGACACCGCGTATTGCTCACGTATAGACGAGACAGTGTGAGTCAAGCGTTTTCTTAGTGTGTGTCACACGTATTTTAGGACGGCATTTCTGTCCAGACGTCTTATAATGCTATTTCTCTCGTTCTTACGTTTGCGATAGAGGATGGAAGATCGCCGCGACTCCCACCACTATTCCCTCTCCAAGCGTCCGACGATCGTATACCGCTAGCTCCCTCCGCCACTCCGTGCTGCTCATGGCTCACCTACACGCAGCAGTGTATGAGTGACGCGTTATCGTGTGCGAGTCACACGGATATTCGGACGGCATTAACGCCGGTGCGTGTACACACACACACACACACACACACACACACACACACACATATATATATATATATATATATATATATATATATATATATATATACAGGGTGTCCAATTTTAAATTACGCACCTGAATATCTCGTCAGGGGAGCCACCGATCCGAAAATAACCCTTACAAAAGTTGTTGGGTTCGGAGGGGGACATTGGATGGTGATTTTCAATTTCACCTTGACCTTGACTTTCAAGGTCATTTGAAGGTTAAATCGAATTTTTAAATAAAAACCCCTATTTTTGACCCCGGATTCGGAAAGAGTGCAAAATTTTACATTTAGATGGGTACTTGAGGCTCTTATTTGGAATGACCTTCAGAAGTTATTTCAAGGACAATATATTCGAAATTACGCACCTGAATATATATCTTGTCGGGGAGCCACCAATCCAAATAACCCTTACAAAAGTTGTAAGAAAAAAAAGTTGTAAAAAAAGTTGTAATCCATCCTGCTACGTCCTCGCCATGGGCCCTGGACATCGATGTATGTATTAAGTCGATGACTGAACGCAGGCTCTGGTGTGAACAATTTTATTTTATACAAATGACAACTAATTCAAATATCTTAAAAAACAAACCACGATCTATTTTGGTTTTCAGGTCATGCTAGACTTTCAGGTCATGCTAGAAGCGGTTCGACCTTGAAATAATCTTTAAAGGTCATTTCGACTCCTAATATAACTTTAAAGTTTCTATTTAAAAAATTCGATTTGACCTTCAAATGACCTTGAAGGTCAAGGTGAAATTGAAGGTCACCATCCGATGTCTCCCTCCGAACCCAACTTTTGTAAGGGTTATTTGGATTGATGGCTCCCCGACAAGATATGTATTCAGGTGCGTAATTTCAAATATTTTGTCCTTGAAATAACCTCTGAAGGTAATTCCAAAAAAGAGCCTCAAGTACCCATCTAAAATTTTGCGCTCTTTCCGAATCCGGGGTCAAAAATAGGAGTTTCTATTTAAAAATTCGATTTGACCTTTAAATGACCTTGAAGGTCAAGGTCAAGGTGAAATTGAAAATCATCATCCGATGTCCCCCTCCGAACCCAACAACTTTTGTAATTTTCGGATTGGAGGCTCCCCTGACGAGATATTCAGGTGCGTAATTTAAAATGGGACACCCTGTATATATATAATTACGCATGTAAAACGACGAACTTTATTCCTATAATAAAATTGCACGTAACAGCACTTCATGTCATTTTACGTTGATTAATCATCGCGGAAGATGCGCGTTTGCATGCGTGCGTCAATTTACGAACAACCTTGAGTGCAAAAAAATCGTATGGTCGAGCTTATCGCTTCGACCAAGAATTCATCGCAGACAATGTTATATACGACTGTCGTCTTACCATAGCGAAACCGGACAGCAAAGCTGACGTTTTACTTGATGCCTTCAGTTTCGCACGACTCAACTGCAGTTTTCTCCAGGACAAGTAACTTGGTGTGTGAAGGCCATCCCCTGATTGCGACATCGTCGACTAGTAAACAAAATGAACGCAAATGTATACAGGCAATTTAATTCGATTTGAAAGGGAAGGACAATCGTATCGAGAGGAAGGAAAATCGATGTGAAAATTTTCGCGAGCTCAGAGGAGAAATAAAAACGCCTATAACATTAATTGTAACCGAACGATAATCACTCCCTGTAAGTTTAAGCACGTAAGAAAGAGAGACACATACCGAAGGTTGATAGCAATGTTGGTACCAATAGGAGAACTTGTCAAAAGTCCCGCGTAGGACAAAAACCAATGGGTGCTGAACGAAACAACAAATAAGCAAAATTAATGAAAACGTAAAGATAGATGAAAGGCGCAAGGGTTTGCTCACGAGGAAGTCGACTAGCAATAATAACGTCTTGCGGAAAGTCTGGCAAGCGTGAAGAACACACGCACGATTCAAAAAGCACTTGCGCCGATACATGCAATAATAAAGCGACGCCATTCGCGTGCGAAGTGATGGTTTGTTTTTTCGCAACCTCAATTTTTTGTTACTCTCGATTCAACGCGCAATCGCAAATTTTTACGCGATCAAATATTTGGATTGATAGGGCGAACGACAATGCAAATAAGATTGCGATTATGTAAAAGTATATTTCAAGCACAAGAGTGTACGTTGCATACAATATTTTCGTACATCAACGATAATTAGATAAGAAGAATCTCTTTCTTTAAATAGAATTTTGTATATGTGCTATTGGAACAAGTGTGAAAATAGTAACTAATGAAAATCTGCGAATCATGCGAATGAAAATCTTGATCGTAACATAATACTATCTCAGATATAATTTGGCATACTGTCTACTTAATGTCTAATACAAATATGCAAATATGTGTCCTCATATAACAAAAATTTTATTAGTATATAAAAAAGTAATTTATGAGAGTTGACATGAAAATTGCTGCTTATTTTGCTGAGAAAAGAATTAATATGGAATATTAATATCCCTGTAAGCACTAAGTAACAGTTATATAACTATAAGTTATAATTTATAACACATACGTTATATGACAGTTATATTGTTAAATGAGAAATTATAACTAACAATTATATACTATTACTTGGTATTTGTTGAGATCGTAGTAATAACAAGAGAATATTTTGATTAAAAACATGACCTAATAAATGGGTATTTATTAAAACAAATATATTTTAAATACGTTGTGTAGTTACATACATGAAAAGATTCCTGTATAGAAATGCTGAACAGCATTTCTACCCAAGATTCTTTTATTTGTACAATTACACAAAAAAGAATATTCTTGTTTGAAGAATGTCTTTATTATTAATATTAAAAAAAAAGATTAATATTAAAATAAAATTATATCGCATTGAAAAATAAATTAGTCCAATTAAGATGAATGTAATTAAATTAGCACAATCATTTTCTCATAAAATATTATAATATATTACTATTCCAGTTTATATATTATTAGTCTTCAATCAAGACGAATATAGTCAAATTAACACAATAATTTTTTTCATATATAAACAGTAATATCAATATTGATAGTTATATATGAGAAAATAATTGTGTTAATTTTATTATAATCGTCTTGATTGAAGACTATCTTCGTTCAACATGATATAATCTCATTTTAATATTAATTTTGTTTTTAAAATAAAGCTATTAACAATAAAGCTATTCTTCAAACAAAAATATTTTTGTATAGAAAATAATAACCCCTTCTTTTTTCTGTCCTTCTTTCTCAAATATTTTTATTATTTTGAAATTAATTGATTTTTGTGTTATTTTTCAAGGTAGAAATTCCATATTAATACTTTTTTTATAAAATTCTCGGACACATTATAGACGTGTAATCAATATATACAGGGTGTTCCGAAGTCCCATGATGACCCTTGGTGAGAACGTAGAACGGATTGAGATGAGCAAGAAAGTCCTGTGCCGTTTTGCGATATTCGCAATAGTTTTTGAGAAATTAATTATTTTGTCTCAACAAATCAGCGTACAGAAAGCGGCAGCGGAAAGAAAGATGACTTCGGCCGACGTGCGACCGTGACACTCGCGAATCGTATCTCGCCGCATCCCTCCGCCCATAGCTACGAGACATAGCGAGTCTATGTCTCGTAGCTATGGGCGGAGGGATGCGGCGAGATACGATTCGCGAGTGTCACGGTCGCACGTCGGCCGAAGTCATCTTTCTTTCCGCTGCCGCTTTCTGTACGCTGATTTGTTGAGACAAAATAATTAATTTCTCAAAAACTATTGCGAATATCGCAAAACGGCACAGGACTTTCTTGCTCACCTCAATCCGTTCTACGTTCTCACCAAGGGTCATCATGGGACTTCGG